GCCCAGCTGCGCCTTCTCCAGCCCCTGCCCTGCTGTGGAGGCCTGGGCTGACTCCCAGGGAAACTGAACTCACAGCTGCTTTGGGAAGAGCTGTCGGTAGCCCCCAAGGTACAGAGGGGCCCACTGCTTCTCGGGGGGAAGGCTGTGCTTCTGGAGCCCTGACTGCCCCCCGCCTGGCCTCACCTCTCCTCAGCAACCTCCAGACGGCCAAGGGCCTCCTCCAGATCCACGCTGTGCTCCAGCTCCGACCTCCGCAGCTGAGCCTCAGTGGTCTCCAACCGGGCCTGCAGCTGGGGAACAGCAATAGCCCACCTGGTCTGGCTGCTCCTGAACCTGCCGGGCAGGGGCTGGGGCATCTTGGGCACAAAGCCGACCTTGGTGGGGAAGAAAGGGCTCCCTGGGGCCCCACAGCAGGGGCTGGGGTTGGGTCTGGTGAGGCGCAGGCCCTTTCACACAATGAACCTGACAGGCAGCCTCCTGCCCTGTGCCAAGTGCCCATAGCTGGCAGAGGAGGGGAGGGGCAGGGGCACGCTGGGTTGCACTGATGTGCTGATTCCATCAGGTCTTGAGGATAGCGTGAGTATGGTGGCCTAGTGGGGGCACGGCTCTGGGGGCCACTGGAGCATGCCCACATTTCATTTACAGATGAGTAAACTGAGGCCCCACTGCCCCAGCTACCCGGGCAGCCCAGCTGTCAGGGCAGGGGCAGGGGTTTCAGGGCTTGCTTCAGGCACACAGGGGCCGGATGGAAGGTCACTGGGCTGTCTCTGGGGCTGCCCCCTGGAGAGTGAGTGAGTGAGTGATTGTGGTTCCCTCCACCTGGGCCTCCTGCCTGAGTCCTGCACCTCACCTACAGGGTGCAGGACCACACCCACCATGATGTGGGCCCACTGCCCAGGGCCACTCCGCTGTCACTGGGCCAAGACTGAACTTAGGCCCAGGAAATCAAGGGACAAGGATGGCCCAGGTAGAAGGGTGGAGGGGAAGGCAGCAGGCCTGGTGCCTCAGCTGTGGCTGTGCCAGGGCTGAACGCATGGGAGAGCCGAGGGGCCCCTCCTCAGCCAGCAGCCGGAAGAGAAGGGGGCGTTGGAAGACCCTGGAGGAGCCGGGTGGGGTCTGGGGGTGCCACCCCAGGATGGAGATGCCACGGTCAGGCACTCTGGCCACCCAGACCCCGTTCCCCCTGTCTTGGGGGTAACTTGGAGTGAGGCCCAGCCTCCTGGCACCCACACTTGGGGGTAACTTGGAGTGAGACCCAGCCTCCTGGCACCCACACTTGGGGGTAACTTGGAGTGAGGCCCAGCCTCCTGGCACCCACACTTTGCCTGCTGAGCCACTCGGGAGCTGGCGTGCACTGGGCTGCTGGCGCGTTCGGATCTGACTCATGCGGCTTACTAATCTGTCGGCAGCATTTCTGCGGCTTCTATTCCCAGCGGCCTGTTCCCAACATCTCCCCACCCTGTGCTAGGAAGATGTCTCCCCCAAGGCCTCCCCACAGCTGTAGGGGCTCCCAGGAAGAGCTGGCAGCTCACACACGCGCTGGGGCCCCCATCAGGTGGGGTGGACCCCAGGTCCTGCCCTCAGGGGCTCCCCTCCCAGGGGTGCCAGCAACAATGGAAACGTGTTTCCCGTGTGGGGGTCAGGGCGTGATAGAACTGGGTGGGGAGCAGAGAGCGGGCCCCTAGGAGAGCTGAGGGCATCCCTATGGGGCTGGTGCTGTCGCTGGTCCTGGGAAGGACCCTTCCAGAAGGCGAGGCCCACTGGGGACACCACTGGTCCCCTATACTGGCCACTGGTCACGTGTCTAAGAAGGGACCAGATCTGGTTCAGGGGTTCAGGTCTCAGCCCCAGTAATGGCGGTGTGTCCTGCGTGATCACTTGCTGGCTCTGAGCCTTGACTCCCTTATCTGGAAAGTGGGATCATCTGACCTGCCATGCGGAACCGTGGGGGCTCTGAAGACGGCATGGGTGCGGCAGGGGCCCCGAGTCCCCCACAAGGTGGGCTGGACACCCCACTCCACGCACTGGCTCCTTACCAAGTCCTGCCTCAGAAGCCAGCATGCCTTGGAGAGCCGACATAGGAGACAGGCTCTGGCCTAGCAGGTTTCTTGACCTTTCTGCCTCGGTTTCCCTGGCTACACAATGGGAGGCCCTCCCCAGCTCCACATTTTGTGACTAAATATGCCTCTCGCTCACCTCACACATCACCCTGGAAGGCACCGCAGCCACCAGGGAACCAAAGATACAGCCCTGTCTGGCCCCTTCCCTGTCTTCTGAGGTCCAAGCGGTCCCAGTCAGCCTCAGTTGTCAGGAAAGGGTCACGAGGCTGGGGTGGAGCCATTTCTCTGTGAGCTTCGTCTGGGGGTGGGATCGGTGCCCGCTGGCCTGCTGTCCTCTGCCGTGCAGGTGCCCGCTTTGTGCTGATGCTGGGCTGAGCACTGGGCTCTGTGGGTCAGGACTGGCCAGGCCACCGCACAGGGCTCCCGGGCAGGTACAGGGACAAGTCAGTGCCTAAGCTGGGTTGCGAGACCTAGGGGACATGCTAGGCATCAGGGAACGGCCTGGGCATGTGCTGCTTGGCCTCCCACCTCTCGCCTGTTATCCCACCGGTTGCCTCAGTTTCCTCATCTGTTGCCCAGGGTTTGAACGTCGGGTGGCTGACACTCTGTCTTTCCCAGTCTTAGAAATTGCCAATAGTCCCAGGTTCTGACTGCAGGCCCGACAAAGTGACCCCTCACCAAGGGCCAGGCGGCCCCCTCCCGCCTGTCCTGAGTCTGCTGCACACACTCACCTGCTCACTGACCACACGGCACCTGCTGGCCAGTTCATCTCGCTCGGCGCTGGCCTGGGCCAGCAGGTCCCCCAGCCGGGTCAGCTCCTCCTGCAGGAGCTCGTTCTCCTCTTGCACGCGGGCCGTGGTGGCTGTCGGCTCCTGTACCCCTGCTGCACGGTACCTGGTTCAGCCTGGGTGGCCAGACCAGGGCCCACCCGCACTCAGCCTTGTGCCCTCTCTCCATGGTGGGACCCTGGGCTGGCCACCGGTCTCCAGCTGCTGGACCTGCCCGCATCTCCTGGGAGGGGCCCCAGCTCTGAGCCAGGGACCCTGACGTAGGGAGGCCGACTTCACACTCTGAGCCCCGCTTCCTCTCATGTTAATTGGAATCCTACCACCTCAGAGTACCTGGAACCCCAGTGCAGACCCAGGCCCGGGCCGAGCCCTAAACCAATGGCAGCAGAGTATGTGGGCGGCCTGAACGCGGGGCACTCGCCCTGTCTGTGAAGCTGTGAGCCCTGCTGCTTCTAGGGGAAGGGACCTGGTCCCCGAGTAATAAGGTGCTTTTGTAAATACACACACAGCCAGTTCCCCGGGCCTGCAGGAGGCCGGACAGATCCTGGGAGAGAGGGATCCCTGGGACCCACGCGCGGAGTCCTGGGCACACACTGAACAGGCGGCCTGGAGCTGGTTCCTCAGCTGCCAGGTGGACAATTGGAGGCAGCACAGGGGCCTGGGGCGGGTGCAGGAAGGGCAGAGCTCGGGGGGTGGGCGTCTGTGCTCCCTGAGTGCCAGTGTCTAGCATTTCCACCCTGAGGAAGAAACCAACACCAATGAAGCAGAGACTCAGGTGGACACAAGGGTGCCACACAGAGGCAGCCCTGCTCAGGCCCTGCTCAGTGCCCTGTGGGTATTGATGTGATGCCCCTGAGGGTGGCCCTGTGGGGGGTGGGGCCAGCCCCGGGCCCAGGACTGTCCCCCATGCTGTCACCTTGGGGTGGCTCCTCACTCAGGCTGCTGGCCACGATCTCACGGATGTGGGCGGGCACGGGGGTGGGTGAGGCCCGCCGGCCTTCCCCACGCACGGTCAGTGCCCGGTCTTCCCTGCTGGCCGTGGGACTCAGTATGGTGTCCTCCAGTCTCTGAAAGACACCCCCAGAGATATCTGGAGATGGCAGCCCCCAGCAGCTGCCAGGCACCCCCCTACAATCCCACTGAATGGGAGCTACCACAGGGCCACCCCAAGGCAGCGGAGTGCCCTGGAGAGGACAGGTGAGGCTGGGCAGGTCACTCAGGTGCATGCCTTGGTTCTCCACCTGTGGAGTGGGGCTGCGCCTATCCCCAGGTTCTGGAAGGAGGACCACACCCAGCCGAGGTAGCAGGTATTGCACTTGGGGCTCTGCCCTGTCTTGGTGGGGGCTGGGCTGAGCGCTGGCTAAGCGGTCACCGGTCCCCTAGGGGATGCTGACAGGCAGGTGCCTTTGCCTCTGCTCCACAAGAAACCCACCATCCTCGCCCACCTGGAGCAGGTGGTCTCACAGCTTGTTTGCACGGTGGGGCCAGAGGAGGGACCTAGATCTCACGCAGCAGTCACAGAGCCCAGCGTGTGTGTGTGGCGTGGGGTGGGGGCTGAGGACGGGTCAGAGGGCTGAGGCTGAACCCATCCTTCTCTGCTCAGCTGCCCGCTGCCCCTCTGCAGGCAAGGTCCATCGGGAGGGTGGGCAGGCCTGGGGCTGCATGCTTGAGGCTCTGAGGATGAGCAGAGCCCGTGGAGCCCTCTCCTCCCACGGCCATGAATTCTGGGCAGAGTCAGGGACTCTCACCCTCCGGCTGCCCTCAGAGGGCTGCATGGGCCGGGGCAGTGAGGGTAGCGAGGACAGCGAGGACAGCCTTCCTTCCCAGGTGGGTCCTTCATGAAAGCCGACTGCCAGGGAAGAGACTCCAATAGGCCCAGAAGTGGGCAGGAAGGCCCAGGACCTGAGCTCACACTCGGGAGGTGTTTGCTGAGTGGCTGCCCTGCTGCCCCAGGAGCCCCTGGGTGTCCTGGGTATCCCAGCCTGGTTTTGAGGGTCTTGGGCCCTAATGGCATTTTGCTGGGCAAGGGCACAGCTTGGGGAGGGCCGAGGCACCAGGGCAGGGGACTCCTGCCAGGTGGAATAGATTACTGACTGTGGGCAGGACACACAGGGCCCTGTGAACACGGAAGTCGACTGTGCCAAATCAGCGGAAACCCAGGCAGGATCCCGCAGGAATACACAAGGCCACAGCTGTCCCCTGGCCTGCTGCCTTAAGGATATCTAAATTTCAGGCAGTGAATTAACTACTAAAGGGTGACCGGATGCTTGCCAGGGGAAGCTGGGAGGGGATGTCCACTCCTAGGGGCTCTCCAGCACCACACTCCAGAGTCTGCCCAAGTCCTCCTTGCCTGCCTCCCACGTCAGCACGGAGGACCCCTCTCCCTGGGGTCCGCAGAGCTGCTCCCCCACCTTGTGCCTCCTGGATCTTCCTCCTGCCCAGGGTCCTTGTGGGTGACCACCTGGCTGCCTCCTGCCTCCCATCTTCTCTTGGCCCTCCCTGAGACCCTGCTTGCGTCCCTGGATTCTGACCTCAGGCCTAGGCTGGCGGCTGTGCCCTGCTCCCCAACCCCGGCCCTCCTCCTGACCCCAGCCAGGCCTTCTGCACCTGGTGTGTGCTGTCCCGGCTGTCTTGGATGCTCCCTGGACACAGGCCTCATCCTCCATCTGCACCCCAAAGATCTCAGCCCCCCTCACCAGGGTTGGAGAGTCACCACAGACCCAGGCTCAGCATGGCGCCTGGAGAGGCCCTATTCTGACCCTGCTGCCCTGTGAAGGTCAGCCACTCAGCAAATGCTTCCCAGGGTGAGCCCAGGTCCGGGGCCAGCCAGCCCTCCTCCGGACAGCTCCAGAGTCTGCATCTCAGTCCCCTGGGAGGTCTTGGGAGGCGTCTTCACTGCCAGTTTCCCTGCCCTGCAGGTTCCCCCGCTGCCTCTTCTTCTGGAGGGAGTAACGGGCCCCCTTGGGAGCAGCAGCCCAGTGGGGCAGGGGGAGGGACGTCCCTGCTCCTCCTCCTGGGCCCAGCTGGGACCCAGGTGCCAAGACCACCAGCCAGGAGGAGAGCTGCCGGAAGGGCTCCGCTATTCTGTTCTAAACCCCTTATTTTGTACAGCGGAGAATGGAGGCCCAGCAGGGTGGCAAGAGGCACCCCAGGCTCCTTGATCAGAGACCGTCAGGCCACGCTCAACCCCCCAGGCCGGGAAGGGCTCTGCCGCGCCCTCCCTCCGCCTGCTCAGCAGCTCCCGCCCTGCACTCCCCCGGGCATCAGCGGCGCCACCCGCTAACGGGAAGGCAGCAGCGTGGCGTAAACTTGACTCATTCCTAACATTTACAGAGGGTCACTTATTAGCGGGACGTCCCGAGAGGCGCTGGGGCCTAATGGGTTCCATCTGTGGACGGGTGCCTGCAATGGGCCGCGGCCCAGCTGGAGCCGGAGGGGGGCGCGG